GAAAAGGTCAAACTCGGCTTCTATTGTTCCAAACCAAGCTTCTCCCACATGGACATCTTTTTTTAAAAAAGTGTTTTTTTAAACTCTGAAGCTTGAGGAAATCTGTCTTATCTCCTCAGGAAGGGCCACAGTCTCCCCTCGGCCTCAGTTCACTCCATTTTTGTTGACATTTGCTGATCTATCTCTTTGCAGTTGCCTAGGCCTGTGTGTGGCATCTCCTCACACAACGTTCTTTAAAGCATGGAGCCTGGGTATATTTCCTTTGCTTTTCCTTGAAGGCCCAGGGAAGACCCTGAATATGTGTTGGCCGCAGACCCTTGGCTCATCTTCATCCCTGAACCCTGGTCCCATAGTCATTTTTCCTGTTGCTGCTGCTGAGGGTGTGGGGAGGGAGTAATGTGACATAATACTCAGCTTCTGAGCACTTGCTTCACGACAGAAATCTGAGAACATTGCCACTGAGCCACCTGATAATTTTTATTTTGGTGGTACCTCTGTGTACTGAAGGAAAACTCTGGACCTCTCTAGAAAGTTCTTAGAAAATACTTGCTAGAGCACACACGAGATCTGGATTTCTAGGTATCCACCTTTGTTTTAAGTTTGAGGTTTTTTAAATTGTTCAGACAGGGCCGTGGGATGTGTCCTAAGCCAGCTGTCCGGGATGTAGTGTTGATTTTGTGTCTTCTTGGCCCTGCCTAAACACCCATGGTTCTGAATGGACATGCCCAGTGGAGCCACTGGGTGGCCTTTGGGAGATGGAGTGTGACTAACAGATTCAGTACTGATACTGCAGAGCAAGGGATGGGGAAGGGGTGGGAGGAGGGACCCCACTACATAATAGGTCATGCAAAAGAGAATTCCAAGGATGGTTAAGAGTGGCAACCAAAGGCCCTGGAAACTCCCTGGAGACCAGCAGACTTCACTAGGCAGAAATCCAAGAAAAAGGATACCCCCTGGTTGTGTGCTGGCAATAATCAGGAGAGGGGGCTATTATCTGAGGCCCAGACACAATCCCAATGACTTCCCCATTTTATATGGGTAGCCCAAAAGGAAAAAAGAAAGCGTGGACAATTACTTGTATTGTAATGACCCAGAAGCACAGGTAGATTATCTTCTGGGTTAGAACTGGTAGTTTATGCCATGACCCATCACTGCCAACAGAGTTCTGATGGGAGACAGATGTATTCCATTCTGAGGGCTGATTATATATAAATAAATCAAAATGGCCAGAGAATTTAGGTCAAGGTGAGTTTATTGTCCAAATAGCACAACCTAATTGCATTCAAAACCATTTTCAAATCCATCTTCAAAGCCATCTTTAAACTAGTCAGAATAACAGGTTATTATTTTTTAAAATCACTTAACACTGAACACAGAAGACCTCTTAAAAGGCACTGACTATATCATGTCACCATCGTAGCCAATACGACGTGTTCCTATACTTCCTAAAAACCTTTTTGTTCATACCAATCATGCTTCCTTAGCACTCTTCTAGAAACCTGACCAAAGAAACACCCACACCTCTTATAGAGTACATAGTGAGAGAATAACATTGACTGGATATGGTATCACACTCGTTTTAAAGCAAATTAAAAAAAAAAGAAGAAAAAATAATCCAAGACAAGAAACTATAACTGAGAGAGAGATAGAGAGATAGATCTGAGGTACATGGTACAAGGGTAATGAAACACAATGGAAAAAATTGAATGGCCCAATGATCTGCTGGTGATATAAGATTTGGCCAATGGTAAGAACTAAAACCAATGAAAAATAAGAGAAACTATTTTTTTTTTAATGTGAAAGACAGGCACCTGTCAAAAATTATTGGAAACTGTAGTAGCTACAGTCTGTAAGGCACTTTCTCCCCAAAGTAGACTGTAATCCAAGGGATCAATCTGTAGCTTCAACGTTTGTGTATTCATGATGGCTTCTTACAACCTGAGCCAAAAACAGGGTCTGATAGCCCAGCCAAGTTTAAAAGCAGAGACACATAAACATAGGAGAATGGTTCTGGCCGAAGTGACCATTCTGGGTTGTGTAGAATCCAGAATCATCAAACGCCATGTGGTATGGAGGAATAAGAAACACCCTTGCGGATCTTCCTACCCTATTTTGTACAGTTGTTGAAAACCGCCTTCAGTCTACACCAACAGAAGTCTGCCCTCAAGTCTATACCTACAGAGGGTCTGTTGGTTTAAGGGGATTTTCCTGTCTCGGCCTTAGTTTCCCTTTTAAAGCTATTCCCAAAATTGGACTGTCTCAAAGATAAACAAAGAGGAATCTTTTGGCTTAGAAGTCAACTGGGTTCAGACTTCCTTATTCCCACCTCCAATTCCCACACTACCAGTATTATCTTCTTGAACTAGGAAAATCAGTATTTACAGGATGTAAGGTGCAAGTCTATTTCTTCTCCCAGCCCTGTCTTCCATGGCCTATGGAGAAGAACTTCCCTTGCTCTCTTAGAGAAAGTCATCCAAACTCAGCCTGTCAGTACCTCGGCTATCAGGGCACAGTGTGGAGAGGCCCCAAAAGTGCTAGACTGCAGGAAAACTACGGAGCTCCTTCTGAGGGTCACTCACCCTGCTAGCAAAGGATGCACTTGGGGGGAACCAGGTCTGCCCCTGGTCTGGCTGGTAGAGAGGCAGAACAGTGCCTGCAGTAGAAAGCACGCAAGCCAAGGGTACGTCATGCTCTTCAGCGGGCTTCTGAGGCCTTCCAAAATAACACGGCCTCTAAGAAGAGCCCCTCCTGGAAGGAGCTCATATCTCTCAGCACCTGCAGAACATCCAGCCCAGGGATTCCCACGGAGCCCTATTGCATCCTCCTGTGGGCTTCCTGGCTGTTAGGAACCTGCATGGAATTTCCTTATGCTTAGCATATATTTTTGGCATACTAGGATTTCTTCCCTGTAGGATTTGGTCAAAACAGGGGAAGGATCAAAATTTGGCAGGCTGGGGGGAACACCTTAGCCCCCATTAATGGAGAAGAAACAAAGAAAAAATAAAGACAAGATACACAACAAGGTGGAAAAAGACCAGAACAAATTTGTAATCCCTTTTCTGGGAGGTGAGAAGTGGGGGTGGGGGGAGGGGAAGAGCTGGAATCCATGGGGAGGACTGATCCCCTCTGGAACAAAACTTCTACCAAAGCGACCAAGGTCCAAGCAGAGGGCATCAGTCATCTTAAGAACATAGAATCCCTTCTTTTGTGAAAGCAGAGAAAAGGCAAAAGAGCCAAAGGGAAAAAAAAAAAAAAGAATCCTACTCCTACTGTCTCACTAGGCCCTAAGGATGGGAAAGAGGAAAAACTAGAAAGGTCCAGTGTCCTCTGGCTCCAGATGAGGGGACAGTTACAGACTGCAAGTAGAGAATGGCAGCCTGTCCCCTTCCTTACATGCCAGGTTCTTTTGTTCACTGCTTCTGTTAGAGCTGAAGGATTAATCATGAAAATGAACGTGAACCTTAATTTCTCATCAGGCTCCAAGTCTCCCAAAAATGGCAGCCATCATGCCTGCCCAGTTCTGTGGGACTTTTGGGGTACCAGAAGAGTATGCTATGCCATGTGGGCTCTGGATAAAATACTGGCTAAGTACTGGCTGCACAACTTTCTCTCTCAAACTTCTCAATTCACCACCCACTTCTCCACCAGAAATTCCCTAAAATTTTAGGGTCTTACTAACTCTCAAAATCCTAAACCCTCCTAACACACTTCACCAGAGACTGGCTCATCTGGAATTTCATCTCTGCAGAGAAACAGCCTCTCACGTTCTTTCAACTTCCATCCCAGACTCATCTGACCAGTATCCTGTCCATTCAATGGGATTTGAAACCTGAAGTCATTTAATGCCACTCAGCAGAGGACCTGGCCCCGCATGCTTGCCTGCCACAGTCCAGGACAGAGGTGGGAGGAGAAGTATCACTCACATTGCGTGCTCACACACCTACATATTCAGGCCTGGGAAGTATTCACAGACCATCCTAAATGAGGGTGCCTATGCCAAGGAAGGGACAAAGAGGAGGAGAAACTGGGGGACCTCTCAAGAGGAAGGGGCCCAAGCAGATGAAAGCCCTGCTATGAAACTCCAACACCTTGCTGGAATTTGTTCTCGTTGTTTCTGGATACCTGGTGGCTGTGAGCAAATCATGACTTCCTAGTCCACTGCAAGAATGTTTGTGTTGAATGCCTGCCTTGTGGGGAGGGGGGAAGGAGGGAGGGAGGATCCCTTGGTTCAGTGTGTATTTTCCATCATGATGAGGATACCGGAGTCAAAGTGGGAGCCTGGTGACCTTCCTAACTGAAAAAAATCTCTGGGTGTGAGACCCTGGGGTCAAATCTCCCATGCTTTCTACCTGTGAGGGGGCCTAGCAGCCCCCTCTTCCTGTTCCCTCTGCTCCTTGTGCTAACGGGCTCCCAAGCAGAAACTGCAGTTGTGAGGTATTATGTCACAAAACGAATCACTGTCCTTTGTAGTTATTGATTTTGCCCAGTAAATCTGAGGTAAAGAATACTCTGTCTTTGAAGAATGTGATCAGAGGAAAAAAAAAAAACAAAAAATAAATGAAAAACCAAAAAGAGAAAGAGAGAGAGAAAAAAAAACCCATGAATACATGTGACCAGAAGAGAATAAACTATGAAAGGACTTTTCCAGTACAAAGAGCTCACATCCAACCATCTACTTCAGGACTTGGAATTGAAGCAGTAAAATAATATATTATAAAAATGTTTATAAAATAGCAGCACATTCTGTGAACATTACAGCTAGGTACTGTTAATGTGAATAAGGATGAACGATTTTAGCTTCTTAGCAGCGCAAAAAAAAATAATAATAAACTGAACAAAATAAAATGAAAGAGAGAGATCCTTAGTCGTTTCTCCATCTTCAACCCTCATATTGTAACAAGGCAGAATCTGTGTATAAAATAATTCTTCAAAGTAGCCCTGTTCTGATTTTCTTTTTTTTTCCACTTAAAAAAGGCAAATATTTTAACAAATAGCTTCATTACCTGTCAATTACAATTGTGCAAAAAAAAAAAAAAAGTTGTGGCTCTAACTTCTGCTAACTGAATGCCTCTAAGAAGTGGAGAGGAAAAGAAAATTCAAGTACACTGAATACAACTTTGCCATAAAATTAGTAATAAAAAAAAAAAAACGGAAAAGGGAACTAAATGCCACACCCTGATGTTTTCAGCCGTCTGTCTTTGTACCAGCAATAACTTTTCTTTCCACATCCAAAGGAAAAGTATATAGATGGGAACTCAGACGCTTCTACGCCATCCAAATGGTTTCAGGTGTTTTGTTTTCAGGATTTTTCTGAGGAATGTTTTGATGGGAATGTCAGCAGAAAGGGCTGTCTCCTAGCCCTGGTAGAGACACCAGAACTATGTACCAGACCATGTCAGATTCTAGAAGTGAATAGTAACCAGGCTGGGGGCAGGAAGGGAAGGGGCCAAAGAGAAGAGGGAAAGGAAGATTCAGTATGAGGTGCATAAACCATCCCATGTATCCCCCAGGAACAATTTTTCAAAGTGCTTTTCGAATGGAACGGTTTATAACAATGCTAAACTGTGAGCCAGACATGCTAATGAGCACCAAAAATTACACTTTCCTAATAAGGGATGCCAAGGTCATCTCACCCTCTTTCATACAAGAGAAGATTCCATTCCAGATCCCCACCAATGGTCTCCATCTGCCCCCATTTTCAGGTGAGTTTTAGTTAGGGCCTGTAGCTAAATTCCCCATTAGAGAACAATATGGCGGTATCTGCAATGAGCCATGTTTGGAAGAAGAAGCAGGAGGTCACCAAGCACAAGACCTAGGAGCCAATCATCTGTGTCCTACTGGCAAAACACAACATTTCCTTTAGGTAGCAGCTACTGTGGACAGCAAGTTCCTACAACAGAGGCTCCGTCTTAGTGAACACCTGGTTAGGTGTGAAAGGTACTTCTACATCCAAAATGGTTCAACTGTGTTGACTGATTGTTTTGTACTCCCTCCCCATCATGCCCTTCTCATTTCTAGCCTTCTTGAGTTCATTGCTTTGCAATCTAATCATGCCATAAATGGCGTACACAGTTCCTTGCAACTCTGCTAAAAGGGATGTACGTGGTAGTTTACAACATGAAAAAAACAGAGTCTCCTCTAACTTGTTCTCATACTGTAGGCGTACATATCCTCGCTACTCTGCAGGCTTTCCTGTAAGCATCTTACTATAACTTTTACATGATCCAACATAACTGTTCGCATATACAAGGGATTCCCTTATGTTGTACTTTGAATAGGCAACAAATGCTTTTAATTATTCTGCTTTTATAGGACCTTTTTCTCTCACTTCTAAAAGATCTTTAAATATGATCTAGGTGGGGGCAGAATTTTTTTTTTTTTTCAACTCAAAAGAACAAAACATAACCAGAGAGAAGGAGAGAGCAGATGATGGAGACGCCTCTCTCATAGGGCCAGATGGCATCCTCACAGGTCGATGTCCCGCACGTCTGTAGGGGTGGTGGCTTGGTCCAGTTCATCCTCTGACTTGGATCCATCCCGCTGCTCCTGGCGGAACTGCTGCAGGCTGTTAAGCAGCACGGCCTCGATCTGCTCCTGGCAGGCTTTGAGACAATCCTAGAAAAAAAGGGGTCCAGGTCAGAGCTTTAGGGGATGCATGGGACACAGGGACCATCATGAAGAAGTCAGCCACAATTCCACTCTTCTCGTTCCACATTTGTCCTCCAGTAGAAGGAAAAAAAAAAAAGAAGTGTTCTGATAGTTTTAGTCTGATGATGGCCCTGGTACAGAAGCTATCTGGGAAAGCTGGGAGGTAGCAGACAAATGGGAAGCCCATTAGAGGAGCTGCAGTATCAATTCTAACGTCACAAGCCAGCATCTGTGACAACCTAAGGGAGATGGAAGACTGACCCGACTTGACCTGACCATCATGGAAACTATGTTTAACTATCAGAAACAAACAAACAAAAAATCCTGCATTTTCTGCTTATTTGCCATTCCCTAGCTCATTTCATAAAAAGTACAATACAGAATGTTTACAAAATTCTGGATACTTGAGCTTGTCTAATTTGGGAATAAGCAAGAATCTGCAGTGTTGGTTTTATTAGTCTATATTTGGTAGGGAAAATCCAGAGAGAGTTTGCCCCAGGCAGAAGCTTCTATTAGCTGGGTGACATGGAATGCAATGGCAAGTCATGGCTGTCACTTGGGAAGGGACTGTGGCTCATGCTAGTATGTGGGGGGTGAGCCAAAGAAACTGCTCTTAGGAGGGGTTTTCCAGCCTCTCTCCTGTGCGAGGCTGGCTTCCTGCTCATTCTGAAGCACATGCACATATGGAAAATATGTAGACTGAATCCCCCTGGCTTTCCATGGCTTCATATTCACTTCCCTTTGTTCATTTCACTATGCAATTTTCACCATCTAGAGGTTGCTATCTGGCCAAGCACAAAAGCATCATCTTTATTTTCCAAAGACCTAAAATAAGGTTGGAGTTAATGACCATGAAGCCAAGTTTCCATTCCCCTACCCCCTGTTTTTCTTTCCTATCTCTCATCTGTTCCATGTTTCAAACTATAGCTTTTCTTAAAAATTAAGATGAGGCAAGACAGAGGCTAAGGACAGAGGTGAAATATCACCCAGAACCTAATAATGATGGAAAGAGGGAAGGTGGTATTTGCTGCCCACAGCCACACTTGAATCTGTTTGTCCATCAGGATGGCAAAAAGTTCAGAGTAAAGAGCCCCTAAGGTCATACATATGAAGTGCTGTGCTAAGTGGTAGCTCAACAAATGATCATTATTTACTTACTATGTGTAACAGTGAATCAGCCCTTGAGTCTTAAAGACTGGGTCTTGTTGTGTTTTGTAGACTGGCCTTGAACGTCTAGGTTCAAGTGATCCATCCTCCTCCCTCAGCCTCCAGAGTAATTGAGATTTCAGGTGTGCATACCACCACCTGGCTTATGTTTCTTTTAAAGTCAAAGTTATAGCATGTACCTAAGACTGATGAAGGGTAAGCTGTAGGTCTGGCCTTGGGGATAATACTGAAGAAGAGGGGCCCAGCAGGGGCCCCTGAACAGTGCTGAACCAGGACCTGACTCTCACACTTCTCTGTGGTGTCTCCCAGTCACATCTTTAACCCCCGTTTGACCTCTTTCAATAGTGATTTATAAATCTGGGTCTTGCTGCCTCCCTATTCTGCTCTTCCAAGGCCCATCCCCCAAGACTCATCCAGCAACACTGGACTCATAGGTTACCACTTGCCCTAAAAACATCCTTTCCAGGGGTCACTTAGTAGAAGATATCTAAAAACACTAAAGCCTTACAATCTAAAATAATTCATTTTAAATGCAGTCAAAGCTTACGTGGCAGTCAACATACAAAGCAAAAGTTGCTATAGTCAAAACTACTGTTTGTGTGTGTGAGAGCCAGGCATGGTGGTTCCTGCCTCTCATCCCGGGTTCTTGGGAGGTAAAGGTAAGAGTATCACATTCTGAGGCTAACCCTGGGCAAAAGCAGAAGACTCTATCTGGAAAAAAAAAAACAAAACTAAAAGCAAAAGGGCTGGGGATGTGGCTCAAGTGGTAGAGCACTTGCCTAACAAGGGTGAGGCCCTGAGTTCAAACCCCAGTACCACTACAAAAATAACCCTGGCACTTATCCTGCTGAAGTTGGGGTAGAGGCTCATGTTCCAGCTGAATACCGTATGAAGGAGCCGACTTGTTTTTCGGGGCTGTGGTATAGGGTGACATCTCCCTTTGAGTCCTAGATCATGGTGTGAGGACATGCTCACCCCAGCAACAAGAGAAGGGACAAGATCCAATACTGGTAGCCTCCCCATTTACATCCCAGCTGCTTCCCCCACCCCCATCCCCTGGTGCACTATTGTTTCCTTCTCTCTCTGTCTCTCTGCTTGTAGGGAACAATCAGTAGGACCTGGGAAGTCAGTGTGCAGCTCTCCTCCACTGTGCAGGTCCACCAGCAGCTACTGAATACCATGTTTAAAGATTTTTTTCCTGGGCCTCAAGGGGGATGAATGAGAACACCTCCATACCTTCAAAGGCATAAGCACATACTTGTTCCCAACTGTATACCCATCCATGGAAGACAAGTCTTACGTAAGGCAGAGGGCCTGAGAGCATCCGCCACCTCAAGAAACCAGCAGGATTCTCAAAGGACTAGGGTTAGTGTGTGTTGGACAGAATTGGAACCATTAAATTAAAAAAGAAATGCTTATTTGGTGCCGCAAGGAAGTTTGCGTAAGATGGAAGAGCAACTTGGTGAATACTTTGTGATGCAGTCTGCATGGAAGACCTCGCTCCTCAACAAGAAGCCTAGTGCCTCCCAGCCAAGCCTGGCTGACTTCCCTTCCTCACAGGCTCAAGACTGGCAGCATGGTGAAGTTACCTGGGTTAGTGCATATTCTACCCCAATAACATGGCCAACTTAGGACTTCACGGCATCAATGTCTTAGCCACACCAGCACCCCAGGGACAGATAATTCTCCAAATCAAGGGACCAGGTTGCAGAAATCACAGAGCATGACTTCAGCCCTTGAGGTCTTTCCCGAGATCACCAGCACTCCTGCTGTACCTGGTATTCAGCTTTCCTTTCCAACCATCCAAAACTTCAAAGGAACAGTTCTGAGAACTGTTCTTCTGCAGGGAAGATGGGATATCTGGCAGTCACTTGTCCTAGACTTTCAGAGACCCGGGATTTGAGATAGCACACAGAGGAAGAGTCAAGAATCAAGAAGATGTGCACAGGTCTTCTGAACAATGTGGAGGAAGAATTCATAGATTTCACACAAAATGCACACTCTCTTTTCTTTGCTCTTATTTTAGTTTCAATCCAAATCACTATTGACTCTAACCAACTCTTGGTCTTTAACCCCTCTTGCTTGGATGAGCAAAAGGATGACTTGCAGTTATTGAGAGACCTCGGACCCCCTTCTATACTCCCCTAGAGACACAGCAGGACACTACGTCTCTCTGGGTATCCATGCAACCTTCCTTCAGGTTCCACTTCCTCACAACTTGACTTTCAGTTACGGAGTCCATCATTCTCAGATCAGCCAGATGCAAACTTTTTGGGAACAAGAGACTGTTCTATGCAATGCCCACCAAATGTTCTATTTTCTGCAGATGAGAGACTAGTACACCCTCCCTGCATAGTGACACCCTTGCTTAGCCTCTCAGGAACCCTCTTGGACCCCGGAGGTATGGGGTTTTCTGTGAGCTAGTGTAAAGCAAGGAGGAGATGTCTACATACTATGAAATAATCACAGAACTGGAGAATTTGGAAGTCTGGGAAGTCTTACAGATGGAACAGGCAAATGCCTTCATCCAGCCTGGAGGGCTGGAATGACTTGAGTTAAGTCAAGTCTTTTGGCTTTATTAAGGGCAAAAGTCCAATTTCAGAACTTTCTTCCTATACACCTCTGCCTTTTCTAGGCTCTAAGAAAGGACACAGGCCAGAGAATCTCCAAGAAAGGGAGGCCCCCAGTGTGTGTGTATGAGAGAGAGAGAGAGAGAGAGAG